GGGGTTGTTAACCAATGTCATAAAACAATATGTGTACTACTGTTTCATGAGAAACTATTTGTTCTGTAAGCCTTCACCTGAAGTACAATAAAAAAAAAAATCTTTAAAAAAAAAAAAGATACGCCTTTCTCCTTTTTAATCAATGGCTTTACTATGCCTAATAGTAAAAAATAGAAAAGGAACTAAGTGTAATAGGTGCTTGTATGAAATGTCCAACCAAAGAAGAATTAAAATAGAATGTGGACTCGGTTTGTTGCTATCACAATTATGAAAAGAATCACTTAACCCAGTTTATGTGAGTAGTCAATGCGGGGTTGTTATAACACCGGGATGAGGTTAAACACAATTGCCAAAAAGATTCCTTCCCTACTCTTTTATTTTAAAAGCAATGCAGAGCATTTTGATGCAAACCATTTATAGGATAGATTATGAAAAGTTTAAATAGTAAGCATCTCACACTTTCACTGGAGAAATAAAATAATTGTAGTTCTGAGAAAATTGTTTGGGTGTTTTAAAAGAGGTAATAGTGACAATAGTTGAAACCAAGAAAACAACATTGCCCCAGCATATATGAGGCCAGAATAGCATGACCTGGTCTTTCAAGTATTGCCAGATGAGTCCTACGGCTATGTGTGAGGGCCAGAGATTGGTTACAGAACCTCAACACATGGAGCCGAGCATAGATACGAGTCAAGGGCAAACCAAGCGCTCAACCTTAAGAATGCTGGTGGTAAACCAGAAGATATTCTACCTGAATCACAAACATAATTAAGGAGACAATCGAAGGAGAAGATAGGTGATTATTATCTGAGAGGAAATGAACATTTCAGACCACAGCCAAGTGTTTTGTTATGATGGCGGCAGATTTACAAGTTGCTGCTAAAAGCTTCTGCCAAAGCCAAGAACGTAAGTTGCGTTGAGTACAATCCCCAAGCTTGATTTGTAAACTCTGATGTGACCCACTCACTGGGCAAAAAAATGAAGATCAACGCTCTGGTGCTCAAAAGGAAGGTAGTGGGGAGGAGTCTGTGTCCAGGTGTGGTGAAGATGGGAACAGTCTAGAGACTGAGGCTGGGTGTGTGGGTGTAGATGTTGTAACTATATGACTCAGTGGTCCATGGACCCCAGACCCCAGAGACTATCCCAATGTAGTCATGACTAGGACAATCCGATGGGCTCAGTCTTTTAGTGCTGACTCTTCCCTTACAGACAGAGACAGCTGAGTCAGAGTTGAAAGGCTTGCAACACCAAAGAGACATGTATGTCACCCTCATTGGTATGTCCCTAAGGGGTTGAATGAAGACCCATGAATTGAATTTACAGGGAGACAGGCATGCAGCTCAAGACAGGGAAGACTCTTCTGCTTATATGTTAGGAGGAAGAGGGCTCTCCATCACTACAAGTGACCAGGCATAAGCTGGGGACCATTTGCCAGACATGTTGCAGAAAAGATTCAAGCACCAGAACTGTGTCTGAACTTTCCAATCTTTAAGAAATCTTTCAACACTAAGATTTCTGTGATTTAGTATATATATGTACATATATATATAAATACAATCTTAGTTGTAGTTATTTATCTTGCTTCTCAAAATAATTGTTATTACTATTATACTTAAAGTTTTTGAGTATTTATTATATGCCAGGCACTGCACTGAGCTCTTTATATGCACTGTCTCTATGAGGTAGTTACTGTCCTTTCCCATTTTACAGATCAGCAAACTGAATCTAATGGAGGCTGAGAATGTCTCTAAGGTCAGTTACACACGTAGTAAACTGCAGAGCTGGGATTCAAAACCTGTTCATCTGACCACAGAGCGGCTGAGCTATACTTAGCTTCTACTTTTTTTTTAGTATTACAAATGTATAAAGTTTATAACAGTTTGTCAGTTTTAGACCATTGTCTACCTGAATGAAAAAGGTTTTTTTCCTTTTTAATTTTTATTTATTTGTTTGCTCTACAGAATATTGAATCAGATTCAGAAACAAAGTGAGTGATCATAGATTTTAAAGCTTAAAATACTAGAGTGTTGTGAGACCCTAAACCATAATGAAATGGCACAGACCATATAATAGCAGGACCACCAGAACCGTAACATTTAGACTACTTATTGTAGCTATCAAAGAGAGGTACAGCCCCGTAAAACCAAATGGGACTAATGAGGTACAGGAGTCCAGTGACAAGGGCCAGAAGGCAGAAGGGAACAAGGAAGCTGGTGATAGGGAACCCAAGGTTGAGTAAGGATATTGTTGATGTGTTGTGGGATTGTTAACCACTG